TTTTTTTTTTTTTTTCCCAGGGTTCCCCCCCCCCCCCCTTCTCATTCTCAACCTTTAATCAGAGTGTAAAAACAGTTCTGGCTGCTCCAGCTGTGCTGAAGTACACAGAATTACCCCACCCCAAGCATGGCATTTTGTTTGACATTTGTGGCTTTAAACATTTGCCCCCCATTCAATCCTACCTGCTGTCAAGGTCCAGGTACAAATTGCTGTGCGTGAATTTCAACATTTTGGATCTCAAAGTACGGGGTAATATAAGTGAAAGTCGGCATCGGCTGTCGGTTTTGATCCCGCTGTTTGTTTGAATGCATCCTTGCCGACGTTCATTACCGCCTCACCGTTAGCGCTTTCGGGGTACGGCAGAGGGCCAGCCGTAGCCCGTGGTGAAGGCTGTTACTGTGCTCGGCGTGACTGGCCAATCAAACGATGGAAAGTAACCAGAGCAGATGCTGCAGACTCAGAGCCATGGCAGCTTCGCAACCCATTGTTTACCCTCCCTGAGCTCAGCACCCTGAACCAACTCATTTATTTTTATTTTCTGCAGGCCTTTGATTGTTCTAAAGACACAGTTTGGAGTCATGCTATTCGCCTGAGGTCTCAGGAAAACGTGCAGCCGATAGAGGTAACGGATCTTGTGCTTCAAATGCGTCGTGGACGTTGCTCTACAAATAGAACTCGGTTCTGAACTTCAAAAGCCAGATCTATCAAGCAGAACCCAAGTCCTGCATTGTAATGTCCATGAATCCCAGCACAAGATGCCATAAATATCCAGTGGAACAATATATATATGTCTATTTTCCAGTTACCCTTGGCAAAGCAAATTAGTCATTTAAAGTTGTGTTTTATGGGCTACATGTCTGCCCTCAGTGGCTTCATTAGCCTCATTATTTGATTCAGTGAATAAACTGCCCCCAGGGCGTCAGCATCACACATTTTGTTGAACCGGCTGCATCTTTAACTTTGCTAATTTTCTGCAAACTTTTAAGTGTGTCAGATTCACTCCAGGGCCCAGAGCCGGCCTTTGCCACGCTGCCCGGATGCTATGAGGCCTCCACTGTGCATGGCCACAGGCCCCCTGCTATGCCCGGCTATCAGGCCCTCTCTGTGCCCGGCCATGGGGCCCCCCCTGTGCCCGGCCATGGGGCCCTCTCTGTGACCGGATATGAGGCCCTCTCTGTGCCCGGCCATGGGGCCCCCGCTATGCCCGGCCATGGGGCCCTCTCTGTGACCGGATATGAGGCCCTCTCTGTGCCCGGCCGCAGGGTCCTCATTGAGCCTGGAGCCACCTTCAAGTTCTACCTGCTCTGCTCAGTCACGGCTATGTGTCAGGTCATGGGGTCCAACATGACTGCAGAGAAGGGGGGGGTGGAGTATTCATCAGATACCTTGGGAAGGCGGTGTGCCCCCCCACTCACCATGCAGTTCCCGTTTTTGGAGCAGCAGCTGCTTGCTGTTACCCACAACACTACAGCCCTGACAGCTCTGCACCTTGCTTGCCCTCCTTCTTGCCCCCCCCCATCCTCTTTCCTGTGGTGGGGGGAGGGGGTGATGCTGGTGGTCCTGTACTCCCGCCTACACTCTCCTGCCCCCTGAGCTCATTACTTTCAGCCAGCCCCTCCCCCCACCCCTCCCCGGGGATGACACACTCTGTCACGCCCTGTAATGCCCGCTCTGATCGCTCCTTTTCTCCTTTAATCACACTGTTACTGCCTTTATCCCACCAGCTTGAAAGGGCCCCGTGAATCGGATGCCTCGTAGCCCCGCCTTAATTGGTATTCCTGTCTTTAATGATGAAACAAACTGAAGTGGAAAAAAAATAATTGGAAAAGACCCCCCGTTAATGGAGTATCGGAAGAGGTGTCTCTTGGATTCTGTCCCGAGTTGAGCGTGGCACTGCTGATCAGCTGGAGCGGGTTCCTTGAGGACGCATGCCAAGGGGTCGCTGTGTTCCAAAATGTTCCTCCATCCTCATAGGTGCTCTACAGGCAGCCGGGACAGAGCGCCACCTGCCCCGGTTGGTAGGCCCTGCAGGGACACAGCCTGCGGTAGGAGGGGTGTGCGCCGGCACAGCTGTACAGCAGCCTGTCCTTCTGCAGAGAGCACCGGCGCCCCCAGGGGCTGTACGCCGGGAACAGATGGTCCACCTCCTCCTCAGTGCTCGCGCAAGTCAGCCCGAGTCTGCGGGAGGAAAGAGCCACGGCGCAACTCCATTATCGGAAAGCTCTAATTACCCATGGTGCCCTGCATAAGACAAGCCTGAAAACTCTTTCACCTTTGACCCTTTGCACTAATTTTAAAGGGGTTTCAGCCTGTGCCGATGGGCAGCCGGAGTGATTTGTGTCAGTTCACTGTCTCGGTCAGAGCGTGTGTTTTCCTGTTAGTGGCTGGAGATTTTGCCAACACAATTAGCCATCAACCTCAGGCGAAGAGATACATTCCAAGAGGAGCAGAGCAGTGCTGGAAATGCAGACTATTTCAGGAACGTTTTCACATTTTTCTAGAAGTTCTCGACTTTTCTTCCATAGTGGTGCTGGGTGTAGTTTTTCTTTCGATTTGCTGCCTGACAATGCAGGTTAACATTGCAATTCACGTAAAAACAGATTTCAGGAAAGCGTGAATTACGTTTTTTAATTGTTCCTCATGCACATACTTGTAATGCATGATATTGAAACTATGAGTGACATGCGGAAATATTTTGATTTCAATCCAAGCTTCTGTTTGCTCGACTTTGAAATTCTACTTATTATATAACAAGCATTGATTCTAAAATAAAGACTTCATACCTCAAACTACATACTTCAAATTCATAGGATACTAATGCTTAATGGTATTATTATTAACAGATTAATAGATTCTCAAAGTGAAGGCTTATGAGACATATCGTTACATAAGAGACTTAGAAAGGCCATATGTGCCACAGGAACACGTTTTTGTTTTATGATACATGAAATAGTCACTCTCTCCTTCTCCATGTTGAGGGCTATGCCTGTCCATTGTCACGTACCTCTTGAAGGCAGCTGGATTGTTGAGGTGATGAAACAAGGCAGGCTCACAAACCAGGGAGGTCTGCTTGCACATGGAGATGCACGACTGGCCGAGCGGGGCCAGCTGCACAACCAGAGCGCCCTCTGCAGGCCAAGTGGGGAGGGACGTGCTGCAGAAGTCCTGAGCGAAAACACAATAAGATGCACGGTGAGTCTGAGGGGCGGGGGTGAGAGCCATTGGTATTCCGGTCCTTTTTAGGCAGACAGCACAGCCAGAGCAGATGGGTCACCTGGTGGGTGATGTAAGCATAGACGCGCTCCAGCATCCCCTCACAGGTAAACTCATGGGGAATGAAAGGATTCACCTGAAACACAAAAGTTGTCCATTTCGGCTCACAGCACCCAGCATACATGCGAGCTTGTGCTGCCAAAGGTAGCATCCTGACAGCCGCATTCACTACTGCAATGGCATCATCTACCCTGTCTCTTTCTGCTCTACAGCCATATGCTACCATACCCTGCGTCATGTATGTTCATATGTTCTGCTGAAGCCACAATTCTCTTTGATTTACACATGTGCCTGTACATTGTTAATGACAATAAATATTGAACTGAATTGCCTTTTACTACAGATCTAGAATAGGTGGTTGGTTTCCTGCAAGTATCTTTGTTTGAGGTCATATTAATGTTAAACGTTGCTTACCTCCAAACTCAGGATAGCCTTGACAGCTTCTCGCACCTGAGTAGTGTTATCAATGTCCACGGTCCACACGTAAGGTTTGCCGATGAAGTCTTCGGCATAGGGATGCTGGGAGTGGACCTGGGAACATGGCAGTCCATTGACAAGTCAACTTGGGACTCAATCTGCAGAATACGACACGTGGAATTGGCCCATTCTTACGTATCGCCGATAAACTAAGCTTTAAAAATGCAGCATAGCAAGGCAGCGAATCCAAAACCCACTGTGAGGACGGCGTACCTGACGCGTGGTTGGCTTCCCCTTGTAGAAGTTGCTGTTTTCAGAGGAATGAGGGGACTGGAAGCGCGGCTGGAGGAACACACACCCCAGAGCGATGGCCTCCAGGGGAGCTGGGCCCTCGTACGGAAATCCAAGACCAACAAAAAGCTGGGGAACATCAACAGACCATTACAGCTGTGGCCACCTCATGACAGGGATACGATGGCCTTAATATCCATTTGGAAATGTGTGCTTTTTTTCCCAAAAACTCTTCAAATCTTTCAGCAACTAAAACCAGGACTATGGAACTGAATAAGCATAGTAGCTCTTCTTATCAAGAGCTGTTCAGATCGTGCTGGAATCAGATTTGTCACGGTGGTATATATCAGGGGTGTCTTGCCTTGGCTCTCCTCAGCAGCTGCTGTAGCTGCTCTTGGGTCAGCAGGCCGTGGTTGTGGACAAAGCTGGGCAGCAGGGAAGGTTGTCCTTCCGGCAGGAACACGGTGCCATGGATCTCCAGCTCCTGGCTAATTGTCTCGAGGTATCGCTCCTTACCCTGTGGATATAGAGAGCGGGGTAACACTGGGGAACCTCAGAACAGGTCTATGGACCAACTGGGACCCCTAGAGTGAAGTATATACAGTGGTGCCTGTGGTTCACGAACACAATCCCGTCCAGGAAAGCGGTCGTGAACCAATTAGTACACAAACTAAGGCAATTTTTCCCATAAGAAAGCATTGAAATTCGATTCATTCATTCACAAGCTTACCATATAATCATTTTTGTTAATTAATTTTCTGGCTTTTATAATAAAAACTAAGTAAAACACAATATATAGTGTGGCGACAGGCAGACCCAGGCATCGCGGGAGCAGAGAGAGACATGGAGACTTGCTTGCCGGAGAAATCACGCTGGTTGAGGAATCTGTTCATCAACCAAATGTTGCACGTGAACCAATGCATTTTTTTCACGAAATGTTTGGTTGTGAACCAAATGGTTCGTAGACCACAGCGTCCGTGACTCGCAGGCACCACTGTACAGTACATGGATCATGGGGGGTTGGGTGTGTGGAGGGGGCAGACAGTCAGATCCACTTGTCTGTTTGCTTTTGAAAAACTTAAATATAATCTTTTGGCACTTAAACTGAGGGTACACTCAGAGATACACAAGATGTAATGATTGAAAGCAGTAGTTCTAAGATACTGTCCGTGGCTCAGCGAGTTGCCTTGCTGTTGCAGTATCTGAAAGAAGAAAAAGCATTTGTGTTCATAATTTACTGTGCTGCCACAGACAGGGGACCACAGGGATTGTTCATGACAGATTGTGTAAATGTAATTTCCTGCCAGTTTAATAAAAAAATAGAAATGTATTTTCCATTCTGATTTGCAAGCCGTTTTCTTGCTCCATGACAGTCCAAATAGACAAACCGGTCAAAGCCATCTTTTTTTAATACCAATCCTTATGCCAAAGCATTAGGTCAGTTCCTAAAAAATACTTTTGAACCTTGTATAAATCAGAAGTCACCCCCACACTTTGCCAGTGAATAAAGGTTAAAAATAGTGCAGCTGTCCTCAGGATGGGGGAAAGTCTCGCCCGTGTCACTACCTGCCACATGTAGGCCTGCTTGCCGTAGACCACGGCGATGTTTTCCTTCCTCTGAGGCTGCGCCTGGCGACCGTGTCCCGCGTCCTCGCTCACAAAGCCCATGAAGGAGTTATCAGGTGTGTGCGCTGGTGAAGGACAGACCAGACGTAAACATTAATCATGCAGAAAAAGCCTCAGGCCTCATCACTTTAGCAGTTTTTCATTTGTTTTAAAAGGGAAAAATAAATACATGGTTCTGATCAATTTGTTTTGTTTTGTTCTGATAAGGGATTTAACACAAAGTCTTTATATTACATTTACGCTTACAATGGGCTTGTTTTAAATAGGGTTTCCATTAGCTATACCAAGCGGCTAAGCAAACTGGTGTCTCTAAATAGCCCATAGTGTGTGTGCTCTGTGATGGACTGGCAAATAGCAGAGGCTCCCTGATTTCTTATTCAAGCCCAGAACCCCTAACCATGACCCTATCTGGAAATGGGTTAATATCAGGTGTTACACTTGTAGTAAGAAAGTGTCTTTTGTGACGCTAGCCTGATGGACATCTAATCACTTTCTGAAATGCTGCACGAAAACAACATCAGGACTGCCTAAGGAAGATTTTGGCAATTTGTGAAGTTCACATGGGACAGGAGGAAGGACTGGAAGAGACTAGGAAAGCAAGCACTCAAAAAGCAGAGTCACTGGTAGAAATGAAATGAAGGATTGTCTAATGCAGTGCTTCCCAATCTGGTCCTTGGGGAGCCATAGGCAAAAAATGTGGACTGTCTGCCAGGGAGCTCGGAGGGAGCAAAAACCTGGACTGGCTATGTGTCTCCGAGGATGGGATTGGGAAACACTACTCCAATGGTATCTTCACATGTCTTTAAAATCTTTCCTATCCCCCCTCCATTATTTTTATCATTAATAAGAGTAAAAAAGAAAGAGTGCTTTTCCATTCTCCCAAAAGCGATCTTAAAAAAACTGGAACTCACTGGACAGATAAAGACGAAGTAAGGGGCGGATCACAAGCGCCATGTTGATGTACTATGACAAAGAAGTACATGGGGTGGAGCTGCTACTCTGGCAGGATTCAGAAATCCAGGCCCCTGCACTCAAAGTCACGTCTCCCCTGGTTCTGATCTACTCCCTAAACTGCTGTTGCTCCAGGCCGACATCAATCTTTCTTTATAGAGCAGCACAAATAAACAGAACCGTCTCAACGGGTCCAAAGGCTGGCAAGTGATCCGCTTTGTCCTCCTTTCTTAAATGTGCTGGGGCTGGTTCACGTTTACTTAACCTATATAATAAATTTCTTTTCTCCAAAGACATCTCAGCTATTTCAGCGTACGACCAGTGATTTGGGAGTCAATAATCCCCTTGGCTTACACATGGATTCCACAAAAACCACACATCTCCTCAGTCTCTTCGACAGCTTGGGCCACGCTGCCACCCACGCAATGTGGAGCTGGGCCGATAAGAACAGGGCCGCTCAAATTACTCCTGTCGTCCCTTAAGGTTGAGGCTGGCCGATTGTTTTTGTTTTCCTTAGCCAATCACTTTGGTTTAGCTTTCTTAGCTAAACTAACAAGAAAAAAGTGACAACTGTGGGCCTGAGTCAGAGGCTTTTGAGTGTCGACGGCATGACAGCGATTCCCTAGCGAGCCACGCACATGTGGGCGATCACACTCACGGAACATAGTCATGTACTGCTGGGTCTCCAGCCCCCAGCTGCCCCACACGGTACTGTAGCCTCGTTGGCGTGCATACTCCCCAATGTTGAAAGCGGGCTCCGTGCCGAAGGAGTCGAGAACTCTAAAGCGGCACCTTGGGATGGGAGTAAGAAAGGGCTGTTTGTTCATGCAACCGGGAATTGTCTGTTATTTTTGTCTCTCGGCAAACAGGCATGCAGTAATCTGGTAGTTATGGATCAGGCATTGCTAAGCAGCATTAGAACTCGTTGGGTGTGTCCCAATTCAGGGGCTGCACCCTTCTAAGGCTGCATTTAAAGACGGAATGTGGTGTGACAAGGCTGTCGCATTTGGAAGACTCCTTCAAATGCAGTCTATAATGTGTTCTCCTTTAGCCGATTGTATCCATCGGATGGATCCTTTGCAGCAACACCAAGATTCATTGCGCAGAGGTAAAGTGGGTGTGTTTCAGCTAGCCAATAGGAGTATCGCTTTGTGACTCAAGGGTAAGGGCAGGAATGGCTGGTGATGGCCAGACCATCCCATATCACAACACTTGCCGTTCAACCTTCGAAGAACACAACCTACAAAGGCTATGCCTTTCATAGTCTTCTTTAAAGAATGCAGCCCCTAAATCCAGACACAGCTATTATCTTGGCGACAATAGTTGTGTCCAACAGACTGAAAAATGCTCTTACTGGTAGTGTTGGAAGGACAGACCCATGACTCCACGGAGCTGAGCCAGACCGTGGTAGTCAGTGTAGATAAGGTCAAAGGGAATGGGGCTCTGGATGGGGCAGCTCCCCCTGCCCGGAGCAGCTCCAATGAGGCTGCAAAATGAGGAAAATCCACAGAGACTCAGGGGTGGGAACAAGTCATTCCCTGGCGAGTCTGTGGCACATCAAGTCTCAAGTGAAAACACTGTAGTCAGAGTTAGGTCTCGAGTCATTTTAGTCGAGTCCAAGTCTTTCCATCATTTTTGCTGTCAAGTGACAAGTCATGAAATTTGTCACTCTAGTCCAAGCCAAGTTGTGAGTCATGTAACTCTCAAGCCTACCTATGTCAGTTTTTTTACCTTTAGTGATTAAAACGTCTTGCAACCAAAACCTGCTACAGTACATCGTAGGATACATTCTTTATAGGCAGAGATAGGGGACCACGGGGGTGAAAAGAGAGTCTCCACTCATGGTTCTCCTCACACAGCTTTTCTGTCCATGTATATGCAGGGAGTGATGCATCTTTCCAACAAACTATCTCAGGAGATCTTACATTCAGCCAATTGAAAATGCAGACAGCAGAGAATGAATATACACGGAAATGATAAAATTAACATTATGGTATCCAGAGGGTCCAAGTTGGGTCCAAGTCTCAAGTCGTTGCCTTCAAGTTCAAGTTGAGTCCAAGTCTTTCCATCAGTTTTTCTGACTCGGGGCACAAGTCATCAAATTTGTCGCGAGTCAGTGACTCAAGTCCCCACCTCTGCAGAGACTGGGACTACACACATTTCCTTGAGGATACCCTGTTACAATGCATTATGTAATAACAATGCATTATGTAATAACAATGCATTATGTAATAACACTGCATTATGTAATAACACTGCATTATGTAATAACAATGCATTATGTAATAACACTGCATTATGTAATAACACTGCATTAGGTAATAACTTGACAAAATGTTATACATTTATAGACTATGTTATTATTTTATACTGCAGCATTACCCTATTAATATTGTTATTATTATCATCATCATCATTGTTGTTATTACCATCATTCAATTTGTCACATCCTGTTGAGTTATTACATGACGCGTTGTTACCTGAGCAGGTGGCCCTGAGAGACCGTGAAGGTCAGGTTGTGCCCCAAGATGAAGAAGGCAGCACTAATGTCTGCCCACTGCACCAGCTCCCCGAGGGGACCACCTCGTTCCACCATCTCCCCGAAACTCTGGCCCCCACCTCCAGCCAGAACCCCTGGGAACAGCAGAACCTGAGTGGAACCATGCAGGTGAATCAGTAGACGGCTTTGGGATCAGGGATCTGTGTCCCAGCTGGAGTCCTTGAACAAGGCGATTAAGTTGTATTGCTTTAATATAAATACCCTGTGGAATAAATGCCTAAAATAGAACATATGGGTAAAATGTTGAGAAATATGCAAGCTACGTAAGTGACATGAGATGAAACATTCCGCTAAGCACATAAATAATAATGGATAGTAAAAATGTTTTAAGCTTGAGCAAACTCACCCTGAGCTGACTAGGAGATCGATGTGAAATTTTCCGCCACACTTTCTCCCCAGCTTTTGTCCACCTGGCCGCCAGCCTTTCTATCCTAGACCACATGAATTTCACTGCAGGACCCCAGCCACTTCCCATCAATTTATAAAGGGGGCTTAGGTCAGCCCGAATCAATGCCTGCCCAAAAACAAATTGTAGATGGGGGAAACGGAATTAGCGGCAGTGGAATAAATGTTTAGAAGGCTTAATCTCACAATGTTTTGTTAAGCATTTTCTTTGATGACAACAGATGTCATTATATTCCATTATAACTTAAACAGAGTGCCTGTAATTAGATCATTAATTTTACAGATGTACAGATTAAGCGGTCCAAGTTTGCCTTGCCGTCCATATGTAATATTTTTTTTAATCTCCTTTCAGATTAAGGGGCAGAATATAATCCTTTGTTGCCGCACCACGCCAATGAAAATACACAATAGAGCAAACATTTTCTATCCCAATTACAGAAGCACTGCTCTAGTTTAAGTTCAGTTTAATTCTGCAAAAACAACCAAAAATGCATCACATGCTCAAGTTAACATCAAATGCCTTCTGGAATATCGTTCAGTACAGTAAATACCGGACCTTCTCCTTCTCCTGTGCTGGCTGGTGTTTCCAGGGTGGAGCGGTGCGGTTATGCCCGGGCAGCAGGGGGCAGAATTCCTCCCTCTCACTAAGGTAGGCCAGGATGGAGCAGGTGGAGCCGTCCACGCCGTAGAAGGCATAGCACGGGTCAGAGCGCCAGCTGGCTCTCAGAAACTGGGCGGAGGCAGCGGAGGGTTATTCAAACTCACACACAGGCAGATGTACACATCTTACTTACAGTCACAGAGGGTTTACCCCCCCCAGTAGCTGAAAGTGCAGCATGAATTCTATGCCTTCTTTTTGGCTGGGCCAGGACTGAACCCTTGTACTACCCTCTACTCACCTCCACTTTTCCAGCACACAGGGGGAAGCTGGGATGGTCAGGAACCTCACACACCTGAGAGAGAGCTTGAGAAATGGCGGCACACTGTCAGGCCGGTGGCAACACTAAGGGGAACTGCCTATGTGTGAGTTTATAACAATAAGATAAACAGTAACACTTTCTATGAATGCCGTGTCTAAAAGAATCTCACATTCATAACACATTATAATGCATCCATAAAGCATTATAGACATGGCTATAAATATTTATAAAATGGCATAACACATTACAGCCATGATTACTATGCATTATGAATGCTTTTTGAAGCTTTCATCTATAATGCATTAACATTACAGTACTTTAAAATTACTATGTGTGATTAATTTCTTTTACTTACTTAATTTAGGCTTATTTATTACTCTTCTTATTTATTTATTTGTTTGTTTGTTTGTTTATTACTTTAAGATAGGAGCCGTATTTTCTTTATATGGGTGCAATGCAATTTGTTGTATATTTGTACAATGACAATTAAAGTAATCTATCTATCTATCTATCTATCTATCTATGTAATGCATTATGGATATCTTCACTGCACTAAAAAGCATCCTTAAGTCTTATATCAGCCATTATAATGTATTATGAAGGTATCTGTAGTGCATTATAGATGAGAGCTTCATTGTAGCTTATGAAGTATTATAATCAACACTATAATGCCTTATGACTGTTAACAGAAAATGCTTTATTAATTCTCAAACTGACCATTATAATGCATTCTGAAGGTATCCATAGTGCACTATGAGTGACAGCTTCACTGGAGCTTATGAACTAATATAATCAACATTATAATTCTTTTTGACTGTCAACTACCACCTACTTGAGCCATCCAGCTCACCCAACATCAACATGGTAAAAACCTGCCCCTGGTTCAGGCAGGTCAGGACCCAGCGCTGCTATTGCCTCCTACAGCTAATGAGGGGGAGGGGTGGAATCCCCGGAAATACTGCCTTTAACTGCCCTGCACTCTCCTGTTGGTCTGTCCCTTAGCCCTGTGCCTCTGGCCAGCCACTCAAACTCACTGTCAGCAGCTGTAAAGCCAGCAAGGTAAACACGGAAAGTGACAAAGGACAATTAAAACATTAGGCAACAGGAGAGAAATCACATCAGAGGGTGAGGAACAGTTGGACTTCTCTGCTTTATGGGTCTGAGGTAATTTTCAGGAAGTTAGGGATGTTTGGGGCAAGTGTGTGGCCCGTATGAATCACCCTGTTTGAAGATGTGAACACGCTTGACGCGCCCCTCCCTGCAGGACCCTAAACTTGTCTGACCCAGACGCCGCTGAGGGCTGTTAAATAGACGGTAGTCCTGGCTGTAAAACCCGGTCTTTGTCGCTGTTCCAAAACCCCCCTTAGGCAGCCCCATTAACCCTTTGTGGCCTGCAGACCTGACCTGTCTGGGAGAAGAACAGCAAGCCTGTTCACTTCTGCGCCAGTTTTTCATTTTCTTATTTATATATTCAAAGACCAAACAAACGACAACTATTGGCCTAAATATGTCCGTCAAATTATTATTATTGTAGCTGGAAAGTCCACTTTCTGCTTGATTAATGACTAAAGGACCAATGGACATGTCCAAAGACATTCTGCCCTTATCTTTACAGCCGATCACTTCTGCATCCAGCATCTGCCATGACGACCTTCTCATGACCCTCTCCAGGTCCTGGACTGGAACACCTGCTTTGTGCTGGCCAGATGTTCGTGTGAGTACCTGGCAGGGGAGTGTGCTCCTGGGGTGCAGGCAGGGGGGTCCTCTGCAGGAGCCGGTCCAGCTTCTGCGACATGAGCAACAGCTCCTTCTCCATGGAACGCACCAACTTCCCGTGGTCATCCTTCAACCTGAGAAACAATACATATGAACACAATTTGGCCTTGATGTGTATCTCAGGGTAAACATTTATTATCCTTTATTTTTAAATACACACCCTAGGGCAGTTGCTGATTCTGGATAATTAACCCAATTGCAAATTAATCTATAAGTATCCCAGGCCATAGCCTGCGGCCACAGCAAAAATTGGGGCTCCACCCAGCTTGGGGAAAAATGCAATGGTTAGTTAAATCTGAGTGTCCATGCTGATGTCAGATCAGGGCCCTGATAAGTTAAACCGCCCCCAAAGTGACCCCATCATTTTAAAACACAAACCAACGAAATTTATTTCTAAATGTATAGATCAGTGTTTCCCAACCCGGTCCTCGGGGACCTACGGACACCCCACGTTTTTGCTCCCTCCCGGATCCCTGCCAGACAGTCCACACGTTTGCCCCCTACCAGGAACTGGGAGAGAGCAAAAACATGGACTGTCTGCAGGTCCCTGAGAAACGGGTCGGGAAACATTGATATAGAGTCTTTATTTAGAAAGCAAGTGGGGAAAGAAGTGGTTATATTCATTTACTTGCAGCTTTTTTTAATCTAAATTGGTTTAGCAAAGCAAGTAAACCCTTTGTGGTAATGGATAGAGGTATACGCTGTTTAAATAGCTTTTACTGAAACCACCTGGTTGTTAAATGCTAACTAATAGTCCTCATTTAAGGTGGGCTGTTGAGGTGACCGTGGCAGGCGATGGTACCGTAGTAGCAGCTGGGTGAGGTCCTGCTGTGGCGACGGCGTGCTGCCCCTCTCCCGGCTCAGCCGTTGGACCTGGGAGCTGAGGGCGTCCAGGCGCAGGGACAGTCTGTGCACTCTGCTCCGGGGGCCCCCTGCAGGGGCCAAGGGTCCAAGGGTCAGGGCAGAAGAGGGCCAGCAGCCAGGTGACATTCATGGGGCCAGAGGGGATGAGACTTTATGGGTGTGATAGGTTATCCCCTGGGTCAGAATGTTTTACAATTAATTCATCTATCCATCCATCCATTTCACACACATATTCAAACACACATTCACATAGCAGGTTACCTAAACTGCATGGTTTGGGGCTGTAGACGAATAACAGGGAATTCGGAGGAAATGCATAAGAGCATGGAGAGGCACATAGAGAGCCAGCCCCCCCACTGAAGCACTGAACCACCATGGAGAACCGCTCGTAATTTAGAAGACAAAAAAGTATTTCCCTTTATCAAAACAAACATAAATTTGAAAAGCTGTTGTTTTTAAATGAAATGATAAACATTAGCTAAAAAATTCTGACAATGAAACCTTGAATACAATGAAACAATGCATTTAGCTAATTAATGCTTGTACAGTAAGTAGTTTGTATGGTAGAAAGGACTCATTCTTCTTCAGCAGGATCTTTTTTTACTAACAGAACAAGGAACCATTGATCTCAAATCTTAATAAAAATAAAAGCTTTTTACAATCATTCTGACCTGAAATCTGCTTTCTTATGACGGCAATTAAATTTTTTTACTGAGATCACCTACAGAATCTAAGTTAAACCCCTATTGGTTTATCTTAGATTAAATGTCAAGAATGTTTTCTTAATAGCCGAGTGTGAAATTACCGTGTTCACACATCACTCTGCAGCAATAAGAGACCCACATATCAAATGACACATTATTCCATAGAATCCCTAGCTGGGTCATTCCCCCCCAGACAAGATGACATCATACTCTACCCTCAATCCCATTTTTGTGCTAGAATACTCTACCTTTATACCAAAATTAAAGTACCAAAAACATTTATACAGCAAATCCCTACAATGCGTCAAACGTTCCTTCATTGACATTAAAGCTTGCAAGTCAGGGGATGAAACATAATTATATCTGTCCATTACTTAATGCCCATTGATTACATAGTCTGCTAATGTAAATAATAGGACTCTATATGCTCATAGTTGATGAAAATAATAATTAATTACTGCCTCATTGGCCATTGCCAACTGGACACTTATTTTCCCAATAAATAGTGTCCTATCTACCTCTCCCAAAAATGAGACATTCCACCATTACCACCATACACTAAGAAACTGCCCATGTCCCGGTGCTACCAATACACTGAAAAAGGGGACTATGGGCTAATGACACTTATACCGCTGGCCTCAGTCTGAATGTTACCGACATGTTCAGAGACAGATGGTCGTTAGGAAAGGAGGACCGGAGACCCCTGTGTGCATCTCCGTCAGGGATCGGCAGGGCCCCTGTGCCCAGGCCAGCCGCCGCCGTCCCACGCTGATCTCATCCTCTCCATACTCTGTTTACCCAGCTGCTAGAGCGCGGCCCACAGCGGGAAGTGAAAACACATTACAGGTAAAGGTCAGCTTTACGCTAAGCCTGGGGACGATAAGGAAGTCAGGGCGGAATTCACAACCCCCCCAGTGCTCTGACGGCCCCCTGGCTACGTGAGTCGATGGCCTCCCTCCGCCCCTCCCACAGGTGCTGTAGGCTAACTCTCGGTGTCGATGTCCTCTTCCCACAGGCTGATGCTAACTACCACCCCAAACAGCCCATCTGCATTTTCCCACAGTTCCCTGTCTGTGTATGGCGGGGTCTTTCTGAACTTATCTCCAGTCTTCAAACTTTTTTGGAGAAATAACTAGCAAAGACGACTAGTCAATTAGGTTTAATTTACTAATCCTACTTAAAGGGTACAATCAGCAAAATCTGAGAACAACCTGCATTCCTTTTCCCATCTACATAAGGGGTATCAAATTTTGTCTTGGGTTCATAAAATGAAATGAGATGGTCTTCTACTATGGCTACATCGTATGAAAATGCAGGAGTAATTTTAACTTCTTCATCGGTTCCCAGGGTTGAGTACATTGCTGAAATTCCTCCGAATGATACATGATGCTGTCAGAAAACAGAGCTGCTGCATGAATCGTACAAAGGGCTGATCCACTGTGCTTGATTTGACCACCAGTGATATGTTAGCTCTAGACTGTGATAACCATCACACCCTAAAAATCACAGGCAAAATTACAGCATATTGCATAAGAGGGCAGGGTTTGAGTGAGCCATTAAGCTGGCATGTGTGCGTCATCCCGCTCAGGGCCGAAAGGATCTCCTGCCTTCGGGACCAACATCATCACTGGCCGCAGCTCCCTAATCTGAAGTCTCATCAACCTCCTGCTTCAGGCTATATACTTAACATGAATTGTCGCAATAAAACATCTTTATGGATGGCTAGGAAACTGAAAATCACATGGGATAAAAGCTTCAGTCAGACAACGGAATAATAATAGATATTCGAGTAGGCGACTGACATATTAATAGTAATTGCACGCAATAAAGAAAATTACAGGCAACAAATCTTTCAGTGTAGCGCCACATCCTTTTACTGGCTGGGTTAGGGGTCCCCCGGCAAGGCCCTGCTCACCGCAGCCCCTTCCCCCCAGCGGTGCTGTGACCCAGCAGCTCGGTGCCCCTCACCCTGATCCGCAGGTGCCAGTCCCCGGAGGTCACCCGTCGCCGTCTGTGGAGGGACCCAGAGACTCTGTAGCATCAAGGTGAGCAGGAATAGACTGAGCGCCACACAGCAGCTGGAGGGAAGCGAGGAGAGGAGGACAACAAGGAGTGATGGAGAGGGGATACGTCCCAAGCACATTAAGGCTTAATGGGAGGAGATAAGATCAAGGGCGGCTTTAATGTCAGCATGGAATCAAGGCCTGGGTGGAAAATAGCTGGGGACCAATTTAGATCAGAAGAAAGAAAACAGATCTTTACACTAAGTGTGGCGGTTTGGAAAAAACACACAGAATTATAGTAATTCAAGTCTGGAGTAGATAAAGTTTTTACCAATGCTAACATATTAAAAATCCAATCCAGCATAATGACCTCAAAAGCCAGTGAGCATCTCCAGCCTTATGTAACGTGTAGAAATGCTGAGTGGTCCTACGCTGAAAACGACACCGCGAGGAATCTTTTCAGATTCAGGAATGAGTAAAATGTGGTTTTGGGGTTTTACGGATAGATTTGGTGCTGCCTGTCGTTCCGCGCGGTGGGGTTACGTTCGACTCTGACTGCGGCGTTTTGCACGAGGGACTCCTGCACGGGATTCAGCCACGTGCCATCCCGAAAGCACCCGCTTCGTCCGTCCAAGTCGAGTCGTCACACATCTGTGCGTTCCTGTGGCAGCCCTGAGCCTATGCTGCCATATCCAAGCCCACGCTCAGCCTCCCCACAAAATAATGACAGCAGCAGAATAAATTGTTCCACATCTGGGGTTTAAGACAGGCAGCCATTTGCGAAAGATGGGTGACCGAGCGTGTCCGCGGGGAATCGGTGTGGTCTGGCCTTGCTGTGTTTTATTGGAGCAGAGAGGCCCCGTCCCAGCCAGAACCCTGGGCTGGCGCCGTTAGGGACAGGACCGTTCTAGCAGGACCCAAACCGGCCAAAGCAAACATCACAACCCCCCGTGGCAGTTCCATCCCAACCTCTGCAAACGGGGCACCTTAATGCCCAGGAGCCATACGCATATGCAGATTATAGTTATGTCAACAATTCCATTTACATATGTTGCCCCCTACTGGGCAGCGCAGTTTTTCATCTGAAAATTTTAGTGTCAGGTTCCACAAAATTGATCTGATTCTACATATAATGAAAAAATTTGAGCACCACTAAGCTAAAATAAGACACATTTTCGGTTTAAATTTCCATTAACCATTTAATATAATATATTTATTGAGCAGACACTTTTGTCCAAAGTGAAATACTGTATATTTTTGAGGAAACGGAGTCAGACAGTCCCTGGGGCAATTGGGGGCTAAAGGTCGTGCTCAGAGACCCAACGCTGACATCACACTGACGACCACGGGATCTGAACCGACCACAGCCCCCTAAAGCCTTTAGCCACATAGCTCCCACCTTATTCAGGTTGCTGAGATATTATTTGTTCACCGCTTGAATTATATTTTATGATTCAGAATCTTTTTTTTTTTTGACTTTTTATATCACAGAAACTGTTACTTTTAATACACATAAAGACCACAGTGTTTAATAGAAAAAAAATTATCCCTTTTTATCAGGATTAGAGAAACTTCGTGATGTTTTATCCCATATGGATGTCGTCTTTGTGCTGTGCACCTTTGTGGGTAGGGGGGGGGTCACCCTTACCTCCTGGGTCGTAACGGCACACGCATTGTCCGGGCACGAGTCTGCCAGCGAGGGTCTCACTGAAATGAGCAGAGGTAGAAATGTGTATAAGCACAGCTTCTCTCACGA